TCTGGAGTTGGTAGTGATTTTGCCATGGATGAAGATGAAGATAGATACTAAATTTACAATACACACTTACAAACTTTATCCCCATCTTTATTAGTTCTGCCATACAAAGGCATATTCAATATCACCTATTACATAGAATTTTTATTATGTACAATGATACAATTAATTTTCATAATTAGTTCATGTATTTCCCTTTGCAGTGATGTTTGTTTTCAGATTCATTATCTCTAGCAGAAAAATCTACCATAATGGTCTTTAGTTTTTTTTTATATCATTAACGTTTAATTGTAATCAACGAAGAATCAAACAGAAGAACAAGTATCTGACATTTTCTATTGTTTCTTTCCTAATTAAATAATTTGTACATGTCCATTATTCATTAATATATTTTAAATATATAAAATAGCTAAACGTTAATCAAAGATTTGAAATATTAATGAAAAAGTTGTTAGTTATTTAAAAACAAAAATCGCAAAGATTAACGGATTTCTAGATTGATGTTGTACTAAGTTGCTCCGATCTTGTAAAGATTATTTTATTAGCAACAGAAATAATGATAAAAGTAATTATTAGAGCAACAGAAGTAAACTTAAAAGTGCAGCATTAACTTCTGAATCCTAGTCATTGTAACTTTTATGTTACAAAAAATTTGTAAACTGTTAATAACTATTTACTATAAATGTATCGTCAAATGTTTTCAAAATATTGATGACATTCAGTATGAAAACTGTGCTTCTCTGTGTTTAACGTGTAACTTTAAAAAAGTGTACACGACATTCTGTATTTATACACAAATATTTATCTTTTAAAATATTGTGGAAATGTCTATCCTTTTCAATGGATTAAAAGGAGAATTTATGAATACATGGTGCGGTAGATAAATTTTCCGATAGAATGGTAGATTTTCCTCGAATTTCTACGTAGAATAAAAACTTAATTTTATGTCATCGATGAATATATACATGTATACATATGTCTCATGACCTTAAAGAAACTCAGCAGTATGCTCGACTTAGATTATTAGGTTTCAATTGAAGACAGTGATTCTAAGATAATTTCTGTACCGTACGAATAAGTTTAGTTCCTTTAATACTACCTACACGTTTATCTGTCGTCTTTTCAATGATGTTTATGAATAAATATAATTCACGTTTACACCATCTTTGTCTTTAGTTATTTTTACAAGATTCCATTGATTTGTGCAAATCAAACGATACGTTTTAATAAGCACAAACAATATGCTTAAATTCATTAAATGATAATTTAATACCTAACTTACCTAAGTTAATAGGCAATTGTACTTATTTGTACATCATAACATCTGGAGATTGGTACATGCACATATAGGCATCGCACAAGAGTCGTTTCGCGTGCTCAGGTAAATGACGATCATCCGTTAATTCAGTCAAATAGTTTCCACCTTCTTCGCTTAACCAATACGGGAAGTCGGGACAGGGAACCATTTCTGGTATGTTGTAACCATTCTGTTCTCCTGGAGATGATTAAATACACAATCATCACTTGTACGTATTGTCGCATTTTTTAATTAATGAAATTTATAATGTAATAGAGTAATACCTTTTCTGTCGGCCATAGAATCAAAGAAACACCATGGCGCTTCTGATCCAGAACCACATTTCACGAAACAAACATAATGAGACGTTTCAATACAGACTACTGCTGACAATTCCAAGTATAATCGTGGAACAGGACAATGTTCTTGTAAAATAGCAAATTCCATTGGTACCACGAGCTTCTTTGGTTCATGATTTGTTCTTCGTTCGTGGCGATGTACCTGAAATAGTACATTCTAAATATGCTTGGACTTTATACAGAAATGTAAAAAAATGTTCACTTTTACCTTTTCCAAACATTGTAAACAAAAAGCAATACTTTCTAATCCAACGCCACACTGTCCATAACATTCCTTACACTCAAATTCTGCTAGTTTCCCACAAACCGTGCATTGCCTGGGGGCTGTAAATAAAATACTAGATATTAGTAAACTACGAACAATATATCGCAGTGATATATGAACTCAGCACAATATTTTAACGATACCTACAATCCTCAATTATGTCCGTCACATCCAGCAATAGTGTTGGTTGAATTTTTTGATACATTTTGAATGATTTTCCGAACCTAGGCATTTGTATAATAAGACAAGATGGAACTTCTTTTAATCGAATATTACTCGTTAGAAAACTTTGTTCTAGTAATTGTTGTACTGTAGGAAGATTCAAATGATCGTCTTTCTCGACGAAAAGCTGATAGTGATAGGCATCTTGACCGGAACTTAATTTGAGAAATGGCTCAGCATTCAGAATTTGAGCAACCAATGAAGTTAAAAATTCTTCAGGATCTGAGGAAGTTCAAAGTAACAAATTTCACCTTAAAAGACATATGAGATTTAAATATATATGTATTGCACTAACCTTTCTCTTCACTGGTCAATCCAGATACCGATGAAAGTTTTTCAAGCAACGTTCGAAGTTTCATTACGTGATCTGCTCTAACAAACATATTTTTTCTAAGTGGATTTACTATTTCTTCACGTAGCACCCTTTGCACTTCCTCATATTGTGGACAGTCTTTCTCATTTGGCGGTCTACAAAATGAAACATTTATATCTGTAGGTCAGAATAAATTTAAGGTAAATTTAATTATTACCTAAATAATAGATTGTCAAATACGCTAGTAAATGTAAACATGCTGAAAAGTGTGGCATCCAAGTAACAGGAATTGTGATGACCTTGAATTCCTCTGTATTTTCCACAAATACTTTCCAGATTCCCTTTAACAGAGATAGGTCGTACCATTCCAACTATCACAGAACTTTCCATGTTTCCAAAATTGTCGGTACTTATCGGTGACGCCGGACCGTCGCTTTTTGACTGTGATCACATAAATTTTTTAATGAAAAACAATTGTTGAACAAAAATACTTTCAACTAGCTGTCACTTACAGTCGTTCCATCGTAACGAGAACATTGGTCGAGGTCTTTGAAAATGGCCCTGTAAGGTCGGCAATGAAAATATCTTACATCTTTGTATGTTCCATCAGTTCCAGAAGGATGACTGTCATCCTGAATATAAAATAAATGAATATTTTATCATTTAAATATCATTTTGTATTAGAAAACTTTTAATTACTGTACATACCAATTCTACAGCTGCCATTAATTTGCCAGGAGTAATACCAGGAGGTGTTCCAATCCAACGAATGATTCCATAGTGCACGTCGGAATCCAAAAGCACTTTTACATTAGAACCAACAATTAAATCTGGCGTTTCTGTTCGTCCGAATTTCTTATTTTCATTTTTTTCTGGTGTATTACCTACAACAATAGCGACGATTTAAATTTATATCCGTTTACGGAAGTTGAAAAGAAAGTAATAGTTTAGTATTATTTGAAACTAATGCAACAGAAAGAAGCACGTGAAAAGCTGCGTGAATCGACACAACGGACTATATAAATACGAAATGCGGAAGTGTAATAGAATTTCTATGAATGCCTGCTTTTTCTTACAATGTTCTAATGGACTAAAATGTTCGAATGTTTCTTCTATATCACTGTACACATTTGACTCTCTGTCACTACTCCATTTGTGCTCTAGTACAAAAACAGGAATGTTTTGCAACATTGCTGTTATTTTACAATAAAAATATAACAGGTTTTCAGCTTTGAAAGACTTGCCGGCACTACTGAGACAAGCTAAGATTATGGCTATTTATAACTGCCTCAGTTATTCTTAACTCCCTCCACTCTACATGCAACGAGTGAATACAAACAGACTATGTTCAATTCCTAGCAAAGTTAGCAAAGTATTCTATTAACCAAAAAGCCAAGCCGATAATTTATTTCTACATTTTTCTTATTACCAGATTGTGTGTATGAATGGACATTTGTATTTTTAGTTACATTGCTATCATTTTCAAGTGTTATCGATTTGTTGGACTGAAGGTACTCCTTTGGCAGAGAACGTTGATCTCTGTTATTGTTTTTGTTATCATCATAGGTGGTGAATCTTTCCAAGAGGACAGGTGGTGTAGAATCCAATATAGACTTTTTCTTATCATTCGTGTGATTGGTTGCAGTATCTGTTTTTAAAAAAATATCTGAAACAATAGAGAATGTGTCAATAAAATTGAAATTACAAGAATCAAAATAAGAATAAAACATTTATTTTTTTACTCTTATCTGGGTTTCCAAGACCAGTAGGACCCTCAGGCTTCAACGGGAAAATGTGGCTCAATGTAGCAAACCTTCCTTCGGAATGAGTAGACACAAAATATTCTTTGCTCAGCAAAGCTGTTTTAGACGATTCTTTTCCTTCCTGTTAAACAATATACAATAGATATATTACTTCATGTGTACAGATACACAACAGCTAAAGGTATAAAGAAATAAAGAACATTATATAAAATTACCAATAAATCCAGACCAAAGTAATATCCTTGACCAAGTTGTGGCACAGGTCCAATATATTTAATTACAGCCAAATACTTGATGTATCCCTGAGGATCAGGACAGTACCAAATGGTATCCTCTATCATCAGATTCATTAGTTCTTTGCATAATGACTTATGATTAGCCAAGTGAACCCTTTCTTGGGGCACAGTCACAGCTGGAAGAAATTTCCAGACATCTGATGAAACAGGAATTAAGTCAAACCTGTGACATCTCCATTCCGTGCCACGCCAAACTTCTGATCCTGTTGTGTCCGTAACACGCACTCTGAGTGCACTGTCTCCCAAATCCTCGACTGCTTCTACAAGCATACCAAGACGCAACGTATTGACGTTTTTGTCGCATTCACCGGATATACGCATTAGAATGGTATTTTGTTTGGCAACATAATGCTGGAGGACCTGACGGTCTTCCTTGTTGCAAACATTTCGCTTTTCCATGATTAATCACGAGCCATCATTGCGATAAAGCGACTTGTCAACCACGACGAACGCAGACCACATGGACAAAATGCAACATTTACCTCTGTCATAGTTCAGTTTTTGTTTGAAAAACGAAGATTAGATACCTAGAGAACTTGTGTCACATAACGTGTTCACGAGAACGATGTACAACTCGATAGAATTATCCGAAGAAATATTGGTCATGGACACACTCACAGCATTCGGACAATCAAATTCAAGCAGAAAATTGTACCTTGACTGTCAATTTATATGGGGAGTTTGTTCGCGATAGAATTGATATTCGATGTTGGTAGTATTTGATGGTAAGGCAGATTTTCATGTGCAAAGAGAACTAATTGTAATTTAAAAACAAACTAATATTTATAAATGCAATTATTTTTATTCGTATATATTTATTGTTATATTCTTTTACTATTTTAATTACATAAATCTTTGAAAAATTAGTATTATTTATTTTCTAATTCAATGAAAATACCACCAGTACGTATTCAATCTTTGACAGCGAAATCTAAATTTCCTAGGAGTTCTATGTACTTCATCCCGCGATTTCTAGACTCATGGACATCGTGTTTTAAATATGAACGATTTTGGACACACCGATATGTTGAACACGGATTCCTCGAGGGTGTCAGGAGATACTGGCTTCAGTGAATTATTACGGTCAGCAGAACAATTATCCGCTGCCGTTGAAGGTACTGAAGAACTTCCTCAAGTTGAGAGAAACCTTCGTCAAATATTAGAAGCCTCGAATGAACTTTGGTCTCGTGTCACACAAACCGGCACTCAAGATAATCAAGTTCAGGCGTAAGATTATTATCAAATTTATCAATTATACAGTACCGAAACATTTGTTGTGTGTTTCTGTGATAATCTATGTTTACATAAGAAATTTATTCAATTGTTTATAATGAGAGTTATTAACGTAACATAACCTTGGCCTTTCAGAAATTTCTGGCGCGAAACATCAATCGGTTGACTAGATTTTTCATTATGATTATAATTATTTTTATAACAGCTACAGCATATTTTTTGTAGATATTATAAAATTCAATTTCTTTATACTTCTAGGCATCTCCTGCTTGGATCACGAGGCGTTGATTTACCTCAGATATCACAAAAATTAAGTTCACTTAGTGCTAGACGTACTTTTGAGCCTTTAGATCCTATTGCAGATACAGATATAGTAAGTTACCTTAGAAATGAAAAGGAAAATGCTATTTTGTCGATCATTGAACAAGTTCACAAGGATGTAAGGACTTTTATTTTTATTTCATCTTATAAATTATATTTTTAAATGTTAAACCTTAAGCTAATAATTTTACACTTCAGACATTTGAACTTACCAGAGTTCAACAAATGGAACACATGCTGGGGGAATGGAAGCAAATGCGATTTGAAATAATTAATGCTATGACAGCTCCATCCGGGGAGCTGGTAGATTTACGAGGTACTCCTCAACGCACTAAGCTAGCTGGATCAATGGTCAGTGGCTTGTCCAGTGTGGAAGTAGCTTATGTTAAGGAATTACAAAATTACAATGATCATGTGCTTAGAGGAATAAGTAGACCAAGTCTATTCAATGCATTCTGCAAGGCAGCAGAATCATTCAATGATAAAAAAATTGTAGACCTTTGGCAAATGGTTAAATATATGGTGGACATTCCACCGATTCCCAGGGAAGATCAAATTAAATCTAGAAGTACTCCTATTGTTGAGAAAAAAATCGTATTACAGGCTAGAAAATATTTAGAAAACAGATACAGGGAATTTATGACTTCGGTTATTAGTGAAAACTTGGCACAGGCTAAGAGAGGTGGTATTCCAGGCACTGTGCCACTAGTGAAAAGTTTTGTAAGCGTTAAAGTACAAAATTTGAGAGATCTAGAAGATGTTATGGTAGAAGGAAAACCATTGTGGCCTTTAGTTTATTATTGTATGAGAGTTGGCGATTATAAAGCTGCACTACAATGTCTTAATCAGTGCAATACAGAGTTCCCAGAGTTTAAAGTTGCTCTGGAAGAAGCTTGTAATGATCCGGAAAGACATCCTGGCAGTTATGCAGAGTCAAATCTAAAACTGCATTACAGAAAGCATGTCAGATCAGTTACTGATCCATATAAAAGAGTAGCATACTGTGCATTGGTTCCTTGTGAACCCGATGACTTGCATTCGGATGTAATTTGTACAGCAGATGATTATTTATGGTTAAAATTATGTCAAGTTAAAGATCAGCCGGACACTGAAAATAAATTAAAATTAGATTATTTACAAACCACGATATCAGAAATATACGGTAATTGAAATTTCTATCTCATATCAAAGAACAATGATAAAATACGATATGTTAATTGCATTAACATTGCAGGGGAATCATATTATCATGCACATGAGCAACCGTTCGTGTATTTTTCAATGCTATTCTTAACTGGTCAGTTCGAAGCTGCCATAGAATTTCTAGCGAGAGGCGCTGGAGCAAGGCACTTGGCGCATGCAGTGCATTTAGCGGCTGCCATGCACGAACACAATTTACTAGGAGTTAGTCAGAGTGTTTTAGCGCCTCTGTTAAGCGTTGATCCTGCGGATAAACCACCTGCGAAAAGATTGAACTTCGCTAGATTGATTTTGTTGTACGTGAAGAGATTTGATTCCACAGATCCGAAGGAATGCTTGCACTACTTATTCTTGTTGAGGTTTGTACGCAGAAATATAAAATTCTACAGGCTTGAGATTTTAACTTAACATTTGTATCCGTAGAAACATGAAAGATCCACATGAACGCAACATGTTCGCTGCATCAGCGGCAGAAATGGTCGTCGATGATTTACCTGCAAACAGAACTCTATTGGTTGGAAAAATAGAGAAGAATCGTTGGGTACCAGGGGTTTTAGATCAATTCCAAATTAACACACAAGACGTGATAAACATAAGCGCGGATACGTTATATAGGAAAGGTCTTCTAGAAGATGCTGTAACAATGTACGATCTCGCCGGTAATCACGAGAAGGTTCTTAGTTTATTGTGCACACTCTTGGCGCAAGTAGTTAGTCAAAGCTCTTCTGCATTGAGATCTCGATTGCAAGTCACCTCTAATGACATAAGTACAAGGTAATATTAGAAAATCAGAAAATGCAACTGGTTTTTCCACTGTCATATGTGCTAAATTTTTGTTGTCAGGTACCAGAATATCGAGATACAGGCGTCGTCTGAATTAGTCTCCGCATTTCATACTTTAAAGCATCTAATGGTATTCTTTGATCAGTTTCACAATAAACAGTACCAAAGTGCTCTTAGGGTAAGAAATATGAGGTTGTTCATACTGGAAATAATATAAAATAAATATAATATCTAATAAAAGTAGTATTAGTTATTGAGAAATATGATTTTGTAAGCAAGATGTAGCCTAATTACGATTTTACGAGCTAGAAAAATAGGTTGGTTATTTTTTAATTGGTTGCAGACTATCGCAGAGTCAAAATTGTTACCTTTAAATGTAAAAGAAGTTGATGAAAGAGTGAATGCTTTACGGCGTGTATCGCCAGAAGTGGCTGGTACATTGGCAGATGTTCTCTTGGCAACTATGACTATACTCTATTGTCAGTACCAAAAGTTACGATCCGGAGAACCCGGCGATGAAGAAGCAAGGAAACAACAACTTCTAGATCTCCGAGAACAAGCGCGCGCGTTAACGAGTTTTGCTGGAACGCTTCCGTATCGAATGCCAAATGAGACTAACAGTAAACTTGTACAAATGGAAATACTTATGTGCTGAACATTAAAACTTCGGTGTGTTTTTTTATTACTTTATTTTAGAGAGTATTTTGAGTAATGCATTAGAGATACTTATGCAGGTACCTACTGAATTTGTGGAGCACGAAAACAAATCAGTGTTTTATTTTATTCATGCTTGGAGCATTATGAATGCAGTGTATATATATATTTTTTTTGTACTTCCATAACGTAAACGCAAAGAACATTGTAAACATAATAAATGTATTGTTTCCTAAGAATTACAGCTAAACATTACAGAATAAATATAATAAATATTTCATAATTTGTTCCTTTGGTGAATGTCAAAAGTTTATCTTGGAGAATCATTATCAATTGAATATGTTTTCAGACATGTAATGGATATTCCAGAGCTGAGATCTTGGACTTTCCCTTCCTTTACCTGAAAATATTCATTATTCTTGTTTATTTCCATTGTATTTTTAATTGTATATTTATTAAGTATTAATACTCACAGCTCTATAATCGAGAAACATTTCTTTGAAGGCTATGAAATCTGTGAATGTCGATAATACTTCAAATACTTCACCTTCCAATTCATTTTGCCTATTACTGAAACATGTGTGAATATTAAAGAAAATTAATTTATTAACTTCATGTATGACTTTTATATATATTATGAATTAAATTTTCATGCTTACTTTAAAAGTTCTAGAAATGTGTTTATGTTAAAGTGTGGTATTACTTTTCGTAAGTAATTGACAATATAATTTTCCACAGCTTTATTCTGTAAAAATAGAAATATTAAATTTTTTGCATTTTTCATGAAAAACTGTTTCATTGTTTTAAGACACTAACATATTTATCAAAGATGTCTGTGTAAATTAATTTATTTTCTTCTACAGGCTCAAAGACATCCCAATATTGGTCTAAGAATTCCTTCTGAATGCCATGAAATTCATCTTCTAAAAAAAATTGTTTTAAATACCACAATGTTTTGAACAGTCTCTTTAATACATACCTAACAAAATATCTTCTATGTGCCCAATAATCTCATCGAAAAGTTTATCTTCTACATTTTTCGAACTCTGTTCCGTATTTTCGCCCTCGCCTTTTAAGAGGCAATTATCTATAAGATCATATTAATATGTTAATTGAAATTCATTTGCGTTTATATTGGTTTGTTTACACATCTAGTAGTCAACGTAACAACGCATGCAAATTGAGTAATATTTAAGAGATCAAATATATTGATAATTGTTTTTACCTAATATTTCTTCGGACATAGTTTTAATTAATCATGAAAATAAGGCACTGTTTGTTTACAGGACGATATGATTGTATTGTTTGTCAGAACTACATCTATCGATAGATCTACAGTTGTTGGAAACGAGAATCGAAAGAGGAACAACCAATCAGGGTCGTTGACGTTGCAGTTCAAATATTTTACGGATATGTTTAGTATCGTAGGCGACAGAATTAATTTAAAATGTGCTTTTAAATCTTTAAAAGAACATTACTTTATTATTTAATTATATATTATGATTTTCTCTTTTAAATTAGAAGTTATTAGAAGATACTGTACAGTAGTTTTAAAACTTTGATAAAACAGCGAACGAGCGTATTTCGTTGCCCGATTGAAACGTTGCAAAAGCTGTGATTTTCATATATTCATTTTAGTTTAGTTCCTGTAAAAATTTAAACAAAGCGAATTCGCGATTAAAAGGTAAGTACTTACATATGTAGTTGGAGTTTTATAATGAACTATTTCTATATTGTAGGTCGCATGTAACAATGGAGGTATATACTTTTGACAAGAGTCTTCAAGAAAGACTGGTTGAATTAACAGAGATATTATCCAGCAGAGGTGAAGTCGTACCTGCTTCTCAAATTCAAGCAGAATGGTCTTATCATGTGGAGCTTGTAATAGAGCCCGTTGGTTGGCAAGCGTTATGGAAAATACCACGCTTAGTATGTGAAGATTTTCAGATCCATTATCCCACTATAGTGGTGGTAGAAATAGAACAAGTTGAATTTGCTGATCTATCAGCACTAGTTAAAATCACTGCTGTTCAAGATGAAATTCATTTGCCAGAAAAGTATGATGTACCGCTTATAGAACTTTATCCGACTCATAATCAAGAGAATAATGCATTAGACATGGTGGGGACTGCCAGTTGCATTGATCAATTAAGATTTTTTTATAATTACTTATGGATGCCTTGGGATATAGACGATGATGATAACACTGATTGGGTGTCTGTACATTTAGAGACTAGAATTAGGTTGTTCTTTGACATGAAGAGGGGTGTTGTTAGTAAAGACACCAGTGATGTTATAAGAAGCTTGATAAGAGAAGGTAGAGAAGTTCAACAAAAGATATCAAGATTAGAGGACACCATCAGTGAAGAAGAGGACACTCATGAAGTGGTTGATGGGGGAACAGCGTGTCAATTGATGAAACTTCATTTTAGACTACAACAAATTAAAAGAGAAATGGAGGTTCTTGAAAATCCTGCCATGAGAGAGATTCTTGTCAAAAATCGAACAACGTCTTTGATCAATGAGAAGTCACAGAGAAAAGACAGTAAGGAAAAGGGTACAGAAGGATACTTTGTGTGGCTTGGTGGTACTTTAGAAGAAATGAAAGAAGCTATAACTAGAGTGCAAGCTGGTTTGCCCTCTGGGTTACATTTTAAGTATGTTTTACAAATTTTAGAAGCAGCATATTAATTTACATTTAATTATGCTATTTTATATTTAGAATATCTGGTTCTTTGCAAGAGACTGTACAAGTCTGTGATGCGGGGGACATAATTGTAATTGGAGAAGGTACTCATTACATAAAAAGTGCTGGAAATTTAGAAGAAGGAGGTACAATTAAGAGTGTTTGTAATGCAGAGCAGACTATTCTTTCTGTAAAAGATACTGAAACTGCACCATCTTTGCTTGACTTTTCTGGCAATGAAGTAAGCCATTTTACCTAATTATTTCCAACTGATGTTCATTTGATTTATTTTTAAACTATCCTTGTCAGGTTCTATTAGAAGGTATTACAATAGATGCAGGAGACCTTAGAGCTGTTGTGATAGTCAGAGCTGGAATTACAAAAATCCTTAATTGTGTAATATGTGCGTCAAATCAAAGTATAGTTAAATTAGGTGTTGTTGTGTTGCCAAATGCGAAACTGATCATAGAAGATACTGTTTTCGACGGCCTCGGAACAGCCGTAGTTATTTATAATAAAGGAGAAGTGTACATGAATAATTGTAGCTTTAAGAATTGCGTAGAGGGTGTACAGGTGTGCCATTTTCCTATTTTTTTTCTATATTTATTGAATTACCAGTTTTATTGTACTTTTGTATTGTTTATGCAGCTGTATGACAGTGCAAAACTGGTAGCAAGCAGTTGCTTCCTAGGACAGTTTAAAGAATACGCGTTGCGGTTGGAGACACAAAAACATTTGCAAGGGATGGAAAGTAAATGTGGCGGTACAGAATTGTTAGAGGGTATATCTGGAATTTCACTCAAGGAATGCAATTTTGCTGATAATGGCAAAGGAAACGTCGTTCTGAAACCAGGGACAGCATTTGCTTCGATGAAACAAGACGGGACTGTTAATACGGAAACTTAAAGTAATTCTGAGTTACATAAACTTTAGTAATTTTATACTTTTAATATTGAACTG